AGAAACAGGACTGTCCAGAAGACAGCGCTTGAGTGTCCAGAAGACAGCGAACTCAAGCGCTGTCTTCTGGACAGTCCGTTTCTCCACCTGAGGAAGGCTACTTGTGTTGTGGCCGAAACGTCGTGATAATTTTATTTTATTACGTTTTATTTTTATTATTTTATTTCCATCCTACGTGACTTTACCGAAAGAACCAAGAAGATGAACTCCCTATCATCTATGAAGTACATTAATACCACGATATAACCCCCAAAAAACGATAGCATGGATACAATAATACCGTTTAGAAAATCACTACCTTTTCTTAAGGATGCAGAAAATCAGATACTGGACATGAGTGAAAAAGGACTTTCCAGGATAAATAAATATCCTGATTCCAAAATAAGTGCGGAACGAGGCGAGTCGCAACCAGCTTGAGTCGAGGTCTGTCTGTGGTCGGTTTGTTAAAGATTTTGGTGGCGGGTTTGGGGAGGCCTTCATCCAGCAGTCGATTGACCATGGCTGCTGCTGCTACTGCTGATGATGATCATGATGATCTCAGATTCTGTATTTATAGCGGAGGAATCCGATGAGTTATAAAGCTCTTTTTCGCAGATGTCCAGTAGGGGAGGGTGAGAACGTGACAACAACAATCAGTACAACACGATGGTAGTGCGAAGTACACGTAAGGTAAACACGTCACCCAAACACAAACAAATACAACACTAAACCATCCCCAGCCTACCAGGCAAAGCCCACCGAGGTATTCAATTATTTTCTCAAAAGCGAGATGGCCACAAATTATAGCTCAACAAAGTGGCCCAACATTTGGAAATTTATAGCAGCAAAAAAATAAAATATTCTCAATGCGTGAAACACCGCAGGTGCTAAGTTTAAATGTGAGAGTTATTTACGGGCGAGCTGAGAAACCACGCTGTAGTGGGTGGTGCATCGTCAAACGCTTGTGCTGGATTTGGTGGTTGTGTAGGGGGTACAACACAATTGTGTAAGAAAAGCGTTTACCCTTTCTGGCAACAAACCAGCTGTTAAGAAGTTAGAACACCAAACAAACCATTTGCAAGGATCACGTCTGCAATAAGCACACACACTGTGGTGAACATGCACCACACACGGTGGTGAACATGCACCACACACACTGGTGAACATGCACCACACACACTGTGGTGAACATGCACCACACACAGTGGTGAACATGCACCACACACACTGTGGTGAACATGCACCACACACACTGTGGTGAACATGCACCACACACACTGTGGTAAACCATGCTCTGGTCGGAGAGGCGTTGTCTTTGAAACTGATTGGTCCACACCAGAGGTGTGTTGTTTATTGCAAGAAAGGGTGAAACCTCTTCTTATATTTTGATACTGCCAAGGGAGGTCCCGTGATGTGGCAACACACATGTGGCCACATTATTACGTGGCATCGCCCAAAAAAAACACATCTTACGAATAACAATATTGATCAATATTGTAATTATACGATTGCCTTACTAATATTAAATCTTCATTATCGCTCTGCTTTTTTCACCGAGGGAGGCCTCACCGAGTCTCAGGACTCTGAGGAGGGTCCTGCCAAGATATCCCAGCAGGGTGCGGTTACTTTGCCGCTAACTCCGATCCCGGTCACACTCGTAAAGCCTCTGGCGTTGGGTCGTTTGGCCAACAACAATGCCGGTGACTTGGGGAGCGTTTAGTTGTTGATGTTGTTGTTGATGTTGCTGCTGCTGCGAGCTACACCATGCGACGTTTCGTCGTAGCGCCCGACCGCGAGGGCCCGCTCGGCCAAAACGCAGCGAGCCTGGACGGTCACACGAGGCCCCCACGGCTCCTCCGCCCACGCGCTCACTCCTCACATCGTCGACGTCATCGTCACAGACCCCCCCCCCTCCACCATCCCTCCCACCGCCGCCCCCCCCCCCCCGCCTCTTAACCAAGGCGTCCCAAGCGCCCGTGGCTATTTTTGTCACGGCATAAACATTTCCTCTCTCTCTCTCTTTCCGCCGCCGTTGTTTGTCCACAGTTTTTTTTATAATGTCAAACCGGAGGCCGGAGTGGATTTTTTTTCCCCTTCTTTTCCATTTGCTCGCCACAGCCACCACCGCTGCCCCCCCCCCAGCCCACGCCTAATGCTTCTGAGCACCGCAACCCTGACGGTCCCTCCTGGTGCTCGGCAGGGAGGGGGGGGGGCCGTGCGGTCACCCAAAGTGCCACTCGGGGAACGTGACGGGGATGGAAACGGACGGGCGGGGGAGACGCGGACCGCTCGGCCCCCACCTCACCCCATCCCCGGGTGACAAAATGCATGAAACTTTTTACTCTAAATAGCAGTCATACAGAAACTATTCATCTTACTGGAACATTAAAAAAACATTATTTTATCTATTTTAAACGCAACGAATTCGTTGTTTTAAGTGTTTGGGGGGGGGGGGGGGGCATTCAGATGTTAGAGTAGGTTTGTCACGGTAGCTTCCCTAACTTCATTTACTTTAAATATGAAATACCATAGCCCCGCGGCCCTCCTAGAGGAGGGCCCTGGACCATCAACCCCACCCCACCGGTGGTGGTGGTGGTGGAGAAGGGCCTTGGACCACCAACCCCACCGGTGGTGGCAGTGGAGGGCCCTGGACCACCAACCCCACCGATGGTGGTGGTGGTGGAGGGCACTGGACCACCAACCCCACCCCACCGGTGGTGGTGGGGGTGGTGGAGGGCCCTGGACCACCAACCCCACCCCACCGGTGGTGGTGGTGGCGGGGACTTCGCTCTGAGCGCCACTGCTCAAGACGATTCTGCTGCTGCTGTGCATGTCCACGTGGTGATGACGATGGTGATGTGAGCCACCTCGTTTGGCTATCATTTATGATGGCCGGGTCGCTTATGAATAAGAGCTGTATGTAGCTCAGTGGGCCTTACCTGGTAAAATAAAATAAAATGTTGAATCGTTTTTTTTCAGTCATCTGTGAATAAATATAGCTTGTGTGTCCGGTGTAGTGAGTTGATCGTTTCAGCCCAGTCACCGGTGACTTGCATAGAGACCCATAGACTCACATAGAGATCCATAGACTCGCACAGAGTCCAATAGACTCACATAGAGACCCGTAGACTCACATAGAGACCCACAAACTCACATAGAGACCCGCAGACTCACATAGAGACCCACAAACTCACATAGAGACCCGTAGACTCGCATAGAGACCCATAGACTCAGACAGAGACTCACAGACTCACATACAGACCCATCGACAGTATTTGAAAGGGGGGGGGGGGGGGGGGGGTTGACAGCACGGTTGTGCTGGGGGAAGGGCGTTCCAGACTGTAAGGACGACAGGGTGGCGTGAACGACCTCCAACCGAGCAAAGGTTGACCGGGGGATGAAACACAAAGCCTTGGTTTGTGGAGCGGCGAGTGCGTGGATGGAAGCAGAGTGAGAAGGGAGATGAGAGGGCAGAGGTAGGAGAGTTCATGGAGGGGAGTGAGATGAGAGGGAGAGGTAGGGGAGTGTGTGGAGGGGAGTGGAGTGAGATGAGAGGGGAGAGGTAGGAGAGTGGGTGAACAACACGCGTGACTACTGGGGGTAAATGAGGCACACGCGTGTAGGTCGACTCAGCCTTAAATGAGTACCCGGTGCGTAAACATCGCCACTGGGGAGACAAAGGCGGTCAGGCGTGGTGTTGGCCACCCACCCCTTCGTGTGCAGTACTGGCCTTCATCGGTGCTCGCTAACGGCACTTGTCCCAACAGTCTGTTAAAGGCTATAGGGGGGATCTTTGTCTTGTGTGCATGTGAATCCACGTGCGTGTGGCATATGTGCGTGTGTGTGTCCACGCGCGTGTCCGCCTTTGTGTGTATGTGCGTGTGTTTGTCCACATGTGTGTCCGCCTACATAACGTGCTCAACCACGTTATGTATGCCGATGATTTGGTAATAGCTGCTCATTCAGAGGAGGAGTTGGAGACGCTGCTGCTGAGACTGGAGCGTGCCACTAAGAGATGGGGCCTTACCATCAGCCCCACCAAAACTAAGCACCTGCCTGGGTATTTTGTACCATCGGACACTCCACCCCCACAACTCCCAATCGGTGATGGGGCAGTTGTGGAGAGAGTGGAGAGTTTCCCATACCTGGGCAGTGTGCTCATGACCGGCTCCGGTTTAACAGCAGAGGTCTCACTCTGAATCAGTCGAGCGGCATTATCTTTTCATCGGTTGCGTAACGCTGTATGGAAGCTACCTGGTCTATCACTCCGCACGAAGCTTCAGGTCTTCTCGGCCACGGTCATTCCCTCCCTTCTCTACGCTTGCGAAACGTGGACCCCCCTAATGGAACATCTCCACTGGTTAGAAACATTTAGGCTGACCTGCCTACGATCCATCGTGGGTTTAACCAGGCTGGATTATGTGAGGAGCTCACAAATCCCTGAAAGATCTGGGCAAGGTCCCATCGGTGAGCTCCTCCGGCAGGCAAGGCTGCGTTGGCTGGATCATGTAGCCCGCATGCCCAGCCACCGCATGCCGAAACAGCTTTTGTTCGGCCAGATCGAGGGGGCTAATCGGGCGCGGCACGGGCAAGAGAAGAGATGGAGTGACGTGGTACAGGAGGACGTGGAGCTGAGTGGACTTGCCGATGACTGGTACCAGCGGTGTCAAGATCGGCCTCTGTGGAGGAGGCTCGTGAAGGACGCTACTGGGCAGTTGGAGGTAGTCGCCCTCCAACAACAACGGAGGGCGGAGGAGCGACGCTCACAACAACGAGCGGAGCGCCGGGTGGCTAAAGCACAGCAGGTTGGCACAGTAGGGGGCACAGGTGGTGCATCAGCCAGTCATCTTAGTCAGTCGACCCGTGGCACTTGGGTCTGCCCCGTGACCTCCTGCCCGCGGGCGTTCGACACTTCACGTGGCCTCAAGGTGCACATGGCCTGGCACAAGCGTCGTGGTGACGTCACCGCCACTTAGTGGCGGATGGCGGTTGTTGTTGTTGTGTGTCCGCGCTGCACTGACCGTGAAGCTGTTGTTGGCGTTCTTGGTGCTGCACTCGGCGACGCTGGCGTCCGTGAGGTTGACCTCGTCAAAGATGATCGACTGTCACGAGCGGGGGGGGGGGGGGAGTGTCCCTGGTTAACGTGGTGATGATGATGTGGTGGAGATGAGGATGGTGGTGGTGATAATGATGATGGTGGTGGTAATGATGATGATGGTGATGATTGTGGTAATGATGATAATGCTGATGACGATGATGGTGGTGGTGGTGATGATGATAATGGTGCTGGTGATGATGATGGTGAAGATGATGACGGTGGTGATGACAATGATGCTGCTGCTGATGATGATGGTGATGAAGATGATGACGATGGTGCTGATGATGATTGTGCTGCTGATGATGATTGCGCTGCTGCTGCTTATGATGCTGCGTTGAAGCCGGGTCCCTAGCGGTCGCTGCTAAGTGGTGGCACGCGAGGCGCCAGCGAACCAAGCAGAAGCGGAGGCCCCCAAGTAGCTCAAGGGGAACGGGCGGGATCCGTACTCGTGAGAGAACAGCTATATTTACCGCAACATAAGCTCGAATTTCGATACCAAATCTACAGACAAAACCCGATAGATGTAAGAACCGAATTAATCTCTCTCATCTCTCCAGGGTTCTTCTCCTCGTCCCACTGCCCTCTTCGTATCTCCGTCTGCACCTCGCTAGATTCACTCAAATCCCGCCTCATCTGTCCACGTGCTCCCACCTCGTCTCGTCACATCTGTCTCTGTTCGCTCGGTCTCTGTCACCGGTCCATATCTCTCGTGTCATCTCACTCGGAGTGTACACGTGGAAAAGGGGGAGCCCAACAATAATAATCATCCATGCCTCATGCCCCCCCCCCCCCCCGCAGTGGGTTAATCCCAGCTGTGCATGCGGAGGGTATGTGTGTACATGCGCGATTGTGTATGTGTGTGTGTGTACATGTGCGATTGTGTACGTGCGTGTGTGTGTACGTAGCCTACGTGTGTGTGTGTACGTAGCCTACGTGAGCGTGTGTGTGTACGTAGCCTACGTGTGTGTGTGTGTACGTAGCCTACGTGTGTGTGTACGTAGCCTACGTGTGTGTGTGTGTACGTAGCCTACGTGTATGCTTGCCGTGTGCTTGTTCCGTATTATTTTTTAGATCATCAACTTGAAAGTGCTGACCATATGGCCCTCCCTGCTGACAGAGAGCAAGTGACGCTTGCAACTCCTTTGAGTTGGTGGTCTGGACAAGGCTGAGAGCACTGTACATGCGACACGCCGGTCACGTGCACACGAGGCATGGACAGGGTGTGAGTCGTGGCTTCCGGCCTGCACGTGAGTGGTGCGCTGCCCTTGGTGTGAGCGGTGCGCTGCCCTTGGTGTGAGCGGTGCGCTGCCCTTGGTGTGAGCGGTGCGCTGCCCTTGGTGTGAGCGGTGCGCTGCCCTTGGTGTGAGCGGTGCGCTGCCCTTGGCATGAGTGGTGCGCTGCCCTTGGTGTGAGCGGTGCGCTGCCCTTGGCGTGAATGGTGCGCTGCCCTTGACGTGAGCGGTGCGCTGCCCTTGGCGTGAGTGGTGCGCTGCCCTTGACGTGAGCGGTGCGCTGCCCTTGGTGTGAGTGGTGCGCTGCCCTTGACGTGAGTGGTGCGCTGCCCTTGGTGTGAGTGGTGCGCTGCCCTTGGCATGAGCGGTGCGCTGCCCTTGGTGTGAGCGGTGCGCTGCCCTTGGCGTGAGTGGTGCGCTGCCCTTGACGTGAGCGGTGCGCTGCCCTTGGTGTGAGTGGTGCGCTGCCCTTGACGTGAGCGGTGCGCTGCCCTTGGCGTGAGTGGTGCGCTGCCCTTGACGTGAGCGGTGCGCTGCCCTTGGTGTGAGTGGTGCGCTGCCCTTGGTGTGAGTGGTGCGCTGCCCTTGGTGTGAGTGGTGCGCTGCCCTTGGTGTGAGCAGTGCACTGCCCTTGGTGTGAGCGGTGCGCTGCCCTTGGTGTGAGCGGTGCGCTGCCCTTGACGTGAGTGGTGCGCTGCCCTTGACGTGAGCGGTGCGCTGCCCTTGGTGTGAGCGGTGCGCTGCCCTTGGCGTGAGTGGTGCGCTGCCCTTGACGTGAGCGGTGCGCTGCCCTTGGTGTGAGTGGTGCGCTGCCCTTGGTGTGAGCGGTGCGCTGCCCTTGGTGTGAGCGGTGCACTGCCCTTGGCGTTAGCGGTGCGCTGCCCTTGGCGTGAGTAGTGCGCTGCCCTTGGTGTGAGCGGTGCGCTGCCCTTGGCTTGAGCGGTGTGCTGCCCTTGGTGTGAGCGGTGTGCTGCCCTTGGTGTGAGCGGTGCGCTGCCCTTGGCTTGAGCGGTGCGCTGCCCTTGGTGTGAGCGGTGCGCTACCCTTGGTGTGAGCGGTGCACTGCCCTAGGTGTGAGTGGTGCGCTGCCCTTGGCGTGAGCGGTATGCTGCCCTTGGTGTGAGCGGTGCGCTGCCTTTGGTGTGAGCGGTGCACTGCCCTTGGTGTGAGTGGTGCGCTGCCTTTGGTGTGAGCGGTGCACTGCCCTTGGTGTGAGTGGTGCGCTGCCTTTGGTGTGAGTGGTGCGCTGCCCTTGGTGTGAGTGGTGCGCTGCCCTTGACGTGAGTGGGGGGGGGGCACTCGCCTGGGCGTCCTTGGCGTAGTAGAGGGTGCGTCCGCGCAGCTTGAAGTAGCGGCGCTTCCACCGCTGGAACGAACTCGTCTGCTTCATCAGGAAACCCTCTCGCACGCTCGTCTGTGAGGAGGAGTTGAGGAGGTGGAGAGAGGAGGAGCGGGCGCCGCTTAGTCGTGCGCACCATCGGACGCAGCAGCAGCAGCGGCGTCTTCGTCGTCGCTGTGAACCGCAGCCCGACGCGCCGCTGTCGGCAAGCGGCTGTTTTGTATTCCGGGAGAAAAATGAATGAAGTGAAAATAAATCGCAGCAGAAGTTTTTGCTTCCACTACGATGGTTGTTCGGTATCCCGTGGGGGGGGGGGGGGGGGGGCTCGCGTAATGCGTCTTGTGTCAGCGCGTGGAACGAGGGGCAGAGGCGGATGTAGATGTCGTCCCCAAGGGGAAATCACGAACTTTTTAAAGAGTGCCCTACAATAATTGACGAAATATATAAAATCCTGCGGCTTCTCTGTGGTCAATATCAATAAAATAAAAATGTCGGGGTGTTATGCAAGGGGGGTGGTGGGTAGGGGTTGCCCCCCCCCCTTCCCCTCCTGCCTTAGATCTGCCACTCATGAGGGGTGCCTTGACCCCACTAAGGCCCACTGAGAGATACCTTGACCCCACTAAGACTCACTGAGAGATGCCTTGACCCCACTAAGGCCCACTGAGAGATGCCTTGACCCCACTAAGGCCCACTGAGAGGTGCTTTGACCCCACTAAGACTCACTAAGAGATGCCTTGACCCCACTAAGACTCACTGAGAGATATCTTGACCCCACGAAGACCCACTGAGAGATACCTTGACCCCACTAAGACCCACTGAGAGATGCCTTAACCCCACTAAGGCCCAATGAGAGATCCCTTGACCCCACTAAGGCCCACTAAGAGATGCCTTGACCCCACTAAGACTCACTGAGAGATACCTTGACCCCACTAAGACTCACTGAGAGATACCTTGACCCCACTAAGACCCACTGAGAGATGCCTTGACCCCACTAAGGCCCAATGAGAGATCCCTTGACCCCACTAAGGCCCACTAAGAGATGCCTTGACCCCACTAAGACTCACTGAGAGATACCTTGACCCCACTAAGACCCACTGAGAGATGCCTTGACCCCACTAAGGCCCACTGAGAGATGCCTTGACCCCACTAAGGCCCACTGAGAGATGCCTTGACCCCACTAAGGCCCACTGAGAGGTGCTTTGACCCCACTAAGACTCACTAAGAGATGCCTTGACCCCACTAAGACACACTGAGAGATACCTTGACCCCACGAAGACCCACTGAGAGATACCTTGACCCCACTAAGACTCACTGAGAGATGCCTTGGCCCCACTAAGACTCACTGAGAGATACCTTGACCCCACTAAGGCCCACTGAGAGATGCCTTGACCCCACTAAGGCCCACTAAGAGATACCTTGACCCCACTAAGACACACTGAGAGATACCTTGACCCCACTAAGACTCACTGAGAGATGCCTTGACCCCACTAAGACACACTGAGAGATACCTTGACCCCACTAAGACTCACTGAGAGATGCCTTGACCCCACTAAGACCCGCTGAGAGATACCTTGACCCCACTAAGACCCACTGAGAGATACCTTGACCCCACTAAGACACACTGAGAGATACCTTGACCCCACTAAGACTCACTGAGAGATGCCTTGACCCCACTAAGACACACTGAGAGATACCTTGACCCCACTAAGACTCACTGAGAGATACCTTGACCCCACTAAGACCCGCTGAGAGATACCTTGACCCCACTAAGACCCACTGAGAGATACCTTGACCCCACTAAGACTCACTGAGAAATGCCTTGACCCCACTAAGACCCGCTGAGAGATACCTTGACCCCACTAAGACCCATTCAGAGATACCTTGACCCCACTAAGACTCACTGAGAGATGCCTTGACCCCACTAAGACCCACTGATAAATACCTTGACCCCACTAAGACCCACTGAGAGATACCTTGACCCCACTCAAGCCCACTGAGAGATACCTTGACCCCACTAAGACTCACTGAGAGATACCTTGACCCCAATAAGACCTTTCTAGATTTGAAGCTTTCGTGACGGCAAGGATCTATACTCTTTGGTTATATTCGGTAAAGTCACGTAGGTAAAAAATTAAAACAACAAAAATCACGATGTTTCGGCCACAACACAAGCGGCCTTCATCAGGTGAAGGGACCAACCTGTCCAGCGGACAGCGTTGGAGTGAAGAAAGCCAAGCGCTGGTCGCCTCCCTTTAAGCTGTGAGGGGGCAAACAGCAAACGCCCTGACAAAGGAAATTAGCATGAAACGCACCACTGACAAACCTTGGAATTAGCACAAGATGATAATACACCACCCTGGGAGTTTGGAATACCACTACTAGAATAAATATACTGTACCATTGAAATTTAGATTTGAAGCTTTCGTGCCTGCAAGGTTCCATACTCTTTGGTTCTATTAGATGATGCCTGGACCCCACTAAGGCCCACTGAGAGATGCCTTGACCCCACTAAGACCCACTGAGAGATACCTTAACCCCACTAAGGCCCACTGAGAGATGCCTTGACCCCACTAAGGCCCACTGAGAGATGCCTTAACCCCACTAAGGCCCACTGAGAGATGCCTTGACCCCACTAAGGCCCACTGAGAGATGCCTTGACCCCACTAAGACCCACTGAGAGATGCCTTGACCCCACTAAGGCCCACTGAGAGATGTCTTGACCCCACTAAGGCTCACTGAGAGATACCTTGACCCCACTAAGGCCCACTGAGAGATACCTTGACCCCACTAAGACTCACTGAGAGATACCTTGACCCCACTAAGGCCCACTAAGAGATATCTTGACCCCACTAAGACCCACTGAGAGATACCTTGACCCCACTAAGGCCCACTGAGAGATGCCTTGACCCCACTAAGACTCACTGAGAGATACCTTGACCCCACTAAGACTCACTGAGAGATACCTTGACCCCACTAAGACCCACTGAGAGATACCTTGACCCCACTAAGGCCCACTGAGAGATGCCTTGACCCCACTAAGACTCACTGAGAGATACCTTGACCCCACTAAGACCCACTGAGAGATACCTTGACCCCACTAAGACTCACTGAGAGATGCCTTGACCCCACTAAGGCCCACTAAGAGATGCCTTGACCCCACTAAGACTCACTGAGAGATACCTTGACCCCACTAAGGCCCACTGAGAGATACCTTGACCCCACTAAGACTCACTGAGAGATGCCTTGATCCCACTAAGGCCCACTGAGAGATACCTTGACCCCACTAAGGCGCACTGAGTGATGCATAGACCCCACTAAGGCGCACTGAGAGATGCCTTGACCCCACTAAGGCTTTCCTGGGCCATTGGGCAATTTTTCTTTCTTTCTTAACAAATCCGATTGCCTAATCTCCTCGCATAATGAACATTTATTCGTATCGTTATTATTATTATACACACTGGTGTGCTGTACTAATAACGCATTGGCACGTTCTGTTTACGTGACAAACCTTACTAATTGGCTGTGTTGGGTGGTGGCGGGTTTAACGACACATTTATATATTTACGCGATCTAATCCACAAAAAAACAACTCTATTATGGTACATTTTTGTGTTACCATTCGCGATGTCTGGGCCAGTACCACCCCCACTGTATGTGATCTTCAACTACGGGGGAGGGGGAAGCGGAGATGGAACGCGGAGAAAACCCCAAACAGGAACAGGGAGAAGAACCGTGACGGAACTGCACGCAGACATGCGTCCCGAGTCGGGAATCGAACCCAGGACCCTCTTGCTGCGAGGCAAGAGGGACCACCCTACAGCTCATCATGGACGTAACCACTCACTCCCTCCACTTACTCTACTCCCTCCACCAGCTCTCAAACACTCACTCCACTCCCTCCACTCCCTCCATTCCATCCACTCCCTCCACTCCCTCCACTCACTCCACATGCTCTAAACCACTCACTCACTCCACTCCCTCCACTCCCTCCACTCCCTCCACTCCACTCACTCACTCCACTCACTCCACTCCCTCCACATGCTCTAAACCACTCACTCACTCCACTCCCTCTACTCCCTCCACTCCACTCACTCCCTCCACTCCCTCTACTCCCTCCACTCCACTCACTCCCTCCACTCCCTCCACTCCATCCACTCCCTCCACTCCACTCACTCCACTCCCTCCACTCCCTCCACTCCCTCCACATGCTCTAAACCACTCACTCACTCCACTCACTCCACTCCCTCCACTCCACTCACTCACTCCACTCCCTCCACTCCACTCACTCACTCACTCCACTCCCTCCACTCCCTCCACTCCACTCACTGACTCCACTCCCTCCACTCCACTCACTCACTCCACTCACTCCACTCCCTCCACTCCCTCCACTCCCTCCACATGCTCTAAACCACTCACTCACTCCACTCCACTCACTCACTCACTCCACTCCCTCCACTCCCTCTACTCCACTCACTGACTCCACTCCCTCCACTCCACTCACTCACTCCACTCACTCCACTCACTCCACTCCCTCCACTCCCTCCACTCACTCCACTCCCTCCACATGCTCTAAACCACTCACTCACTCCACTCCTTCCACTCCCTCCACTCCACTCACTCCACTCACTCCACTCCCTCCACTCCACTCACTCACTCCACTCCCTGCACCTGCTCCCAACCACTCACTCCACTCACTCCTCTCCCTCCACTCCCTCACTCACTCCACTCACTCCACTCCCTGCACCTGCTCCCAACCACTCCCTCCACTCACTCCACCAGGTCTCAACAGTCGGCCTAATTTCTCGCGACAGTGACCCCTTTGTGGGTTAACAAGTCTAAGTTGTGATAAGCCTGTTATTGCATTCGGCTAATTAAGAATATTTAGTTTGTAAAAAAAAATCGGTTTCGTTTCTTTAAGGGCGATATACGGCGATGTTTAAAACACGAGACGCAATCATTAAGCCGTCCTCGTCCAGAATGTTATTGACAAAACAAATACCACCCGCTTCTCGTCTCATTCAACCGTGTCATCAATTACATGGATTAAAGGCGATGATCCAGGAGGGCCATAACCAAGTGATATTCAACTTATACGATGCCTCCTCCACATATCAGTGATTTCTTTACACATCCCATCAGACACACGGCATTCTGGAAGTGGATCCCATCAGCAGCACCGGTTTAACACAAGCAAGTTCTGCACCGGTTTTGACATTCAGTGCCTCATCAGTAGGGCCGGGCTTGCTTGAACCAATGCTGGTGAACTGCCAGAAACAGCATAGGCGATGGAGGATATTAAAAGCATGGGTCACCACTATGTGTGATTATAAAAGAATACCTGTGTGTTTAGTTACGGCGCGCTTTGTGCGGTGACACGTGACTCAGCGGTAGCATTGCAAAGGCTCACTGTTCGAATGCAGCGGCCACCCTGGTTATTACTGTGGGTGAATGAAACATAATATATCGGGGTGCCACGGTTGCGAGATGTTAACTACCTCGCCTGGTATGCAGGAGGTCGTGGGTTCGATCCCGACCCTGACGCCTGCTGCTGCTGTATATTTTGTCGTGTGGATTATTCTCCGGCTCATCCGCTTTCACCCTCCACATTTAGAGTCAACATCCGTGCGTTTGGAGCAGGGGTCGGAAAGCGACGTCTCCGGAGCCGCGTGCCGCTCTCTTAAGGACTGCTTCTTGACGTCATTCGCGTGCATTGCTGCTCTTGAAATATTTTGGGGGGGTTTTTTGTTGCTGAATTCGAAAGAAACCCGGCTCTTCTTGTTATTTTGGTTGCCGATACCTGGTCTAGAGAACAGATTTTGGCTACTGCTACAAATTTCCACCGTGATGATGATTGGCCACTTCGTTGAGCGATCAGATAGGCAGGTCGCTTTTGAACACAGCTTGATAGCTCAGTGGGGCCTTACCTGGTAAAATAAATTTTTAATTTAAAATAAGTCCCACTCACCACCCACATTGGGGCCCTCGGTCAGGCCTCGCTCACCATGGGGGGTGAGGGGAGGGGGCCGGGGGGGGCGGCTGGGGGGGGGGGGGCTCGACTTTCCCAGTTTGACCCCGGCGACCCCACCGCCACGCCGGGCCGTTAATTTAATGAGCGTCGTTTCTGTCCTGCGCCTCACAGAATCCGCTTAATTGGCCTAATTCGATCTGGCTGCGTGAATGCGGTGGCCTGACTCGTAATCAAATGTGAACGTGGCGTGTCTGCCTTGTCCTCAAAAGTTAAATTGCCTCCCGCACGTTCCGTAGGGCCGCACACTCACCGCTGAACTACTGCTGCCCCAACACAGAGACACACACACGCAGAGACCCACAGACTCACCCAGAGACACATTTGCCCACCCAGACCCACAGGCTCACATAGAGACGCATAGGCTTACACAGAGACCCATAGACTCACCCAGAGACACATATGCCCACCCAGACCCATAGGCTCACATAGAGATGCATAGGCTTACACAGAGACCCATAGACTCACCCAGAGACACATATGCCCACCCAGACCCATAGGCTCACATAGAGACACATATGCTCACACAGAGACCCATAGACTGACATAGAGACCTATAAACTCACATAGAGACCCATAAACTCATACAGTGGCACACTCACACAGAGAAGCAAATATCACAGCAACGCACAGAGAACCGTAGACTGACAGAGAGACCCGCAAAATCACATAGAGGCCCATAGACTATAGTTTAAATAAATGATTTGATCATGCTACATTGGCAGAAGCGCAAATGACAAAAAAACTCAACACACTGGTCAACAACGCTGTAGCCTCAAATAAATATATAATGTGACGCATCCAACAATGGGCCGTCTTCATAGCACACAGAGGGGCAAGAGAGGTAGAGACACTGGCCTCGAACTCCTCCACTCTGGAATTCCCTCCCGTCGTCTCTGTTCACCCCCGCAAGCTCTTCCGCTCGTAACCTCTCGCTCATTTCAACAACCACAACAACAACAAAGCCTGTTACACTCGCGTCGAGCACAACTTTGACAGCGCTGCTCGTCGATGTACACCAGCCACGGACTGGGCCATAGGGGCAGCACTGCGTAGCGCAAATTCCCGGTAAGGCCCTGGCAGGGCCGGTCTGCGTGGGGAAACTGCAAATTGTGATCAGAGTAAAAAGAACACGGTAGACTCTCTCGATTAATAACTTGTGGATTTTCCATAAAGCCCAAATTAATCATATGAAGATAGTTATACGTCATTCTCTTTGGTTCTTTCGGTAAAGTCACGTAGGTAGAAAAATAAATCAAATAAAACAAAAATATATCACGACGTTTCAATCGCAACACAAGCCGTCGTCCTCAGGTGAAAAACAATTGATGTTGTAACAGCTGTCTCGCTGGTTCAGCAGTTCTACTGCTGGATTATTTTTTTCTGCCTGAGGACGACCGCTTTGTGTTGCGATCGAAATGTCGTGATTGATCATTTAAAACAAAATCTACCTACGTGACTTTACCGAAAGAACCAAGCTTCAAATCAAGTCTGAACCACCTCTTCGGGGAGGTAAGAGGTCTGTGTCTTTGTGTTGTCTCTGCTTGTGTATCTGACTTTGTGTCTTGGCTTGGATTTGTGTCTCTGTGCTGTCTCTGCCTGTGTGTGGGCCTTGTTGCGTCCGAGTGGGTGCTGCCGACCCCCACTTTACCTCGTGCTGATTTGTCCCATTGTGTGCTACCGCGCCTCACTTGCTCCATGCATACCTCATGCTAATTTTGTCCCATTGTCTCTCAGCCTTACCTTCTCTGCCTATTTAAGGCGACTTTACTGTGTGCTTGTCTCTGTGCTGGTTCGCTCTACTTGGATGTCTGTGTGTGTGTGTGCGGTCTGTATTTTGAGTTTCATACTTAACTTGCAATTTAGCAATCTTTGAAATAGCGTGATCAACCGGACTATGCGTTAATTGTGTTTTAACCGACCGTCTGTGTTGCTTTACATGGTTTCCAAAATTTAGCTAAACCCTGTTTGTCTGGTATGCTTCTCTCTCTGTGTCCCCTGTTGTATCTGTGTCAGTTCCCCCTACTTGGGTGTCTGGATATACATCATGGACTTCACCAGCAACTTAGATTCTTCAAGTTCATTTAACTTAAACATCAGCAAGACCCGTTGTTATACTTTACTTATATGTTGCAATGCGCGCCAGATGTTGAAAAAACGACGAGCCTTGGATTGGAACTTCATGATTGAAAACAATTCTGCAAAACCGACAGTGCATTCCGCATCAATTCACTCGACATGAGCGATACTGACAGCTCCTCCTCGTGCCCCACGTGCTCATCGCAGTGCTCGCTTCGAGCACGTGCGCCACATATTAAACACAAAGAGCCCCCGTGCAACCTCAACAGACTGTTGGGGCAAGTGTTGTTAGCGAACGGCACCTATGAAGGCCGGCACGGCACACGAGGTGGTGATGGTTTGCAAGCATCTCGCTCGGCCGAACTTTGTCTCCAGAGTCGCGATTGTTCACACATCGCACCAGGTACGCATTTGACACTGAGTCGACCTAGGGGTGGCCTAGGACCGGTTCAGACAATCGTCACGGGCGTTGTTGGCCGTGAGTGAGAATCGTAACTCTCCAAGCCTTTGCCGGGGTTCGGAACAGAACGCGCGAACTGCAGCGCCACCACTCCCCTCCCACACACAAACATCCTTCCTACCGTATTCTCCAGATAAGGTCACACTTATTGTTAAAACGCCTATTTTTTCTAAAAGCTACAGTTAAAGGTGCGTCCCGTCAATGCGGCGTGTTCGTGCGTACGCGCGTGACCACATTTTGTTTTCGCCACTGACTGCACAGTGGCTTCAGCTGCGGTGTGTGTCTTACTTCTCGGAGCGCCCGTCCACACGGGACAATTCGGTAGACCCGAACACGTGCGGGGGGGGGGGCAACATGCAATGTAGTCAGGTCTGCCCACTGGAATACAGATGACCTGTTATGGGCAAATCCCTGTGATGGAGGGGACACAGTGGACTCGAAACTTCTCGCGAGGTATTTTTTTTTCCCCTTCCGAAACGCTGCTGGTGCTGGCTGGCTTGGCGTGGAGTGGGGATTGTCGGCGTAAGGCACTACCACTAGGAAAATCAGGTACGCCAAAGCGTTAATACTGTAATTTTAGACAAATTCTTTGGCGATGCTCGCATTGGCAGTGGTGATACGTGCACAAATAAAATAAATAATGAAACTCAACACTGGCGGCAAATGTTTAAAAAAATATTATAACAAAAGTCGACGTTTCGGGAAACGACCCTTCTTCATAGCACACGATACTCCTCTTATCATTGGAGCCCATATTCCTCTCATGGTATGCATGCCGTATGTGTTCACGCGATGGACGTGGCATGACTAACGAAGTCCCCTGCCTGTTGTTCGGCATCGCATGCGCAGCCAGCAGCAACCAGCGCAATGGACGTGCTCCGGCGTGGGACAGCTCAGCATGGGGGGGGCTGAGCCTGCAAGAGTGTCACGATGGGTATGACCGCGATGCGTGTGTGCACGTTGAACTCATTTCGCACCGTACGTAGCCAACCCTGAATAATCGGAGGTGCCGGGGGAAGGGCAGCAAACTCCGAGACACAAAACAATGCGTGAAGGTTGCTACGGACTGCTGCGACGCTACGTGGCGTGGGCAATGCAGGGGCAATGCAGGGGCAATCCATTGTTGCGCTGTACTTCTACGCTCCCGCGTCTATGCTCCGTCAGTTCACCAACCCGAACCGACCAGCGTGGTGAAGTATGGTTAAATACCCCCCCCCACCCACGCACCACGAGCCGTACGGGCGTGGGTGAGGCCCTCATCCAGCAGTAGATATACATGCCGTGCGGAGTGTGTCCACACAATGCATTGTTCATGCTGAAGCGAACATCTCGCGGCAGGTGACTGCCAGCTGAACATCGCAATGAAGTGACATTAATTTAAACCCATTCATAACACAACCACCAAGACGCGTGCTTGCGCGGCTCCGCCTCTTATCCACTGCTGGATGGATGGAAGCCTCCTCACCACACGCCGTGTCGGCCAGCAGGGGCGGATGGTTGTTTTGACCATACTTCACCGCGCTGGTCCATCAGTGCTGCGGATGGGTGCGGGCCACGTTGTAGCGGGGGGTGGGGAGGATGAAGATCGACGCAGCTTTCAGGATCTTTACCAACCCCGCTCGCTGGTGTCAACCGTGGTTCGTACGGGAGGGGGATCGAACCCAGGTCGCCCGCGGGGTTTGACAGCAGCGGAGCGCCGCTAACCACTACGCTACCGCCCCCCCCCCCCCACACACACACACACATCTTGACGCGTGGTTTATGAATTCCATCAAAAAGCCCCCTCCAAACATACAGCGCGACACTCCGAGCTCGAACGCAATCGCGTGGCGGTGTTACGGAAGCAGCCAGCGCGCAGTCTGCGTTAGAACGCGTGGGGACCCCTCAACCGCCTCGCCCTCCCCCCCCCCGTCTGTGTGTGTGGGGGGACTGGGGGGGGGGGCGCCCCCCCGAACCAACCTTCCAAGCCATGCCGCGTCACTCGAGGGATGCTCCCACAACTCCCTTCCAGCAGCCACACCGCGCGTCTCTCCGCCGCCCCCCAAGGCTCTCTTCCCAACCCGTCACTCTCAGGCAGCCACCGCCACCACCACCGCCGCCACCACCACCATCACCATCATCTCGGAGCCGCTGCTGCTGCTGCGTCTGTTACACTTCCCGCAGCCTCCCCACTCGATCGGCGCTGTGACACCGCCACGACCACCACAGAGGTCCTCTCGGCAAACCCCACCCAGAGGTGATGGTGGTGGTGGGGGAGACCCTTGGCGAATCACCCCCAGCACCACCTCCTCCTCCCCAGCTCTCAGCATCCCTTCCCTACCCCCCCCCCTCTAACTCAGCGGCAGCAGCAGCGGCACCACTCTCGTCCGCCCCAATTCGTCCCTCAAGCGAACCTCCTCCCCTGCCTCCGCAAAACGCCGTGGCTATTTTTGGCACGGAGGTGAGAGCTCGAAATAGCAACGCGGTTTCCCGGATCCCTCCGGTGGAGGTGGGGTGGTGGTGGTGGGGGTGGTGGTGGAGGGGGGTGGTGGTGGGGGTGGTGGTGGTGGAGGGGGGGTGGTGGTGGTGGAGGGGGGGTGGTGGTGGTGGGGGTGGTGGTGGAGGGGGGGGGTGGTGGTGGTGGGAGGGTGGTGGTGGTGTTTGTCTATTTCGTTACCCACCCCCCGCCCCGGGGCCCACCCACCCCCATCACCTTCACCCCCATCACCCTACCCCCACCCACCCCCATCACCCTACCCCCACCCACCCCCATCACCCGACCTCCACCCACCCCCATCACCATCACCCCCCCACCCCCATCACCCCCATCCTCTGTCGACCTCCACTCCCCTGTCTCCGTGAGCCCCGTCCGTGTCATCACGACGGAAGGTCCTCACTGCCCACCGGGACGCGTGGCCACGCGCGTCTCGTGGCTGAGTCCGGGTCGCGAAGTGTCCGGCCCAGCCCCGACCACTGACCACGCCGTGGGCGCAGCCGTGAGCTCGTAGCGTGGTGCTGGTCACCCCCCCCCCCACCACCCCCCCCGTGTTGTGCCATAGTGCCGGTAGCATTCATAGGCGCTGCTGCTGCTACTCGCTACTAGCGGCACTGACCCCCAGGAGCCTGTCAAAGCTACACGGGGGGGGGGGGGGTCGTTGTCTTTGTGTTTTTGAGGGTTGCAGGGGAGCGGCGGCGGAGCGGTTGGCGCGCAGCTCCACGAACCCGGCGAGCAAAGTTCGATTCGCCGCTCGCGGCTGCCAAAACACCAGCGGCGATAATCATCTGAACCGGTCCCTCGGCCTGCCCAGTAGCGGACGCGATGCGTTTTAACCGCGCCACTCGGGAGACAGAGGCGGCACTATCGGTGCTCGCTAACAATACTCGCCCCGACAGCCTCTTGAGGCTACACGGAGTGGGCCATCTTTGTCTTTGAGGTTGTGAAATTGCGCGATCTTGATTCGGCCCGTGCCTCCCCGTCGTCAACCACGTGTCCTCTCGCACGCGCGCTGCCCTGAATGTTCAAACAAAAACCATTTGACCCTTATACGCCCCCTTCGTCTCTCTCACGGCCACGGACCCGTCTCGCCCACACGCCGGTGGATGCCCTCTCACGTCTCGTCGGGCAGCGGCAGTGTCAGCGCGCTGCGCTGCCAACAAGACGACCAACCCCCCCCCCCCCCCCCCTGAGTTCGATGGCCAACACCAGTGACGATTATATGAACCGGTTTCCGAGCTCTCCCCTACGTCGACTCAGCCGTAAATAAGTTACCCGGTGGCACGTGTAAACATTGCCACGTGGGAGACAAAGGCGACCGGGCGTGGTGCTGGCCACTCGCTAGCAGCACTTGCCCCCAGAGTCTGTCCAGGCTTTCGGCGAGACATTTCTCTCGTCCTTCATGTGACTGATGTCAGTGTAGAGTAACACCGAAACATTCACGTCGAGGTGGTGAATGCGCCCGATGATTCCGTGTTATGACGAAGCAGCCGTTTGCCGGCATCGAAAGTCGCTTCGCTGAACGCGTCCGTGCCTCCTGCCCCCTCGCCACGTCGCCTGTACGTACGGTGCGTTGAACTTCTTTCGCACCGTACGGAGCGAACCGCGCTAATCGGTAGTGCAGGGGGAAGGGCAAACAAGCTAAGACACAAAGACGCAGTGGTAAAGAAAAGAGTCGACAATATTGGTGGTTCAACAGGGACACGAATACGGCGCGCGATCGTGGTCTCTTGGCTGCATGGAGCGGTGGCGCAGTGGTTAGCGCACTGTGCGGTGAACCTGGCAACCTGAGTTCGACTCCCGGGCCATGGCGATCATCAGTGGCTCGTGATTATCTGATCTCGTTCCTGGACTCCCTTCACCATCCCTCCCCCCCCCCCCCATGACCAGCGTGGTGAAGTATGGTCAAACATCCCCCTCCGTGACCCAACATAGCATAGGTGCTAGAATTGTGAATGTTGTAGTGAGTTTACTCTCCAACACACGACCTGTTAGTGCTGTACTGATAACGAATTGTGAATGTTGTAGTGGGTTTACTCTCTAACACACGACCTGTTAGTGCTGAACGAGTAACGAATTGGCAGGTTCTGTTTACGTGACAAACCTTACGAATTGGCTGTGTCGGGTGGTGGCGGGTTTAACGACACATTTATATTTACGCGATCTCACCCAAAAATAAAAACCTCGATTATGGATGATATTGGTCGAGAACGCCTTTGTGTTAAACTGAGGGAGGACTTATTCCAGCCGTGGATTTACAAAAGGCTGCAGATTGTTATCAATTACAGTTCTCAATGCTATATACAGCCCCCCCCCGCCTCTCTGCGCGACAGTAACGATTGCTGTACTCTATGTATGTTGAACTTCTTCTGCACCGTACGTAGCCATCCGTGCCGATCGGAGGTGTGAAACATCGATGCTCCAGCGCACGTGGCCCCGAATCCAGCACCACGGAGGCAGCCAGGGTTGGTGGACCGCACAGAGATGTCACGAAGCTCCCATTCCGTGGGCGTCGAGGTGCCCGTACTCTGGCTCGCCTCGAGAAGGCGGTGCATCAGAGCGCACACCAATCTGCATCTGTTCCTTCTGCAGACGGTTAGAGTGCTGTCCCCTAGCGCGCATGAGCTTTTTGCCCGGGGGCTCCGTTTTCCACCCACCAGCATAAACGCTCATTGTTTCTTCTGACAGAACAACTTCGTATTTTTCGAGAACTGCAGATCTTGGGCAATTGCTGGCGGCTGCTTCCCAGCTTTTCCGCGGTTCTTCGAGCGACCATGAGAGGCAATTCGCCCGAACGATGACTCCGCGTAGCACGGAGCGACATCGTTGGTGGGTCGCGTGCATTGGCGACGAGAGAAGGGTTTCGCATCTCTGCACCGGCGAGCGTGCGACCACCCCTCCTCACCAGCGGGTGGTTGGGAGTCGAAAATCATCGTCGCGCGTGGAGGGGGATTTGCCCATCCCACGCGACGCCAAATCGCATCATTGACGGCGTCGGCCAAAGCATCGCATAGTAGCAGGAACCTCCAAAAGCCGGGGGCTTCAGCCTCCTGAATGTGTAACAAGCCAAGCACAC